TGGTATTGGCCGTTAAGAACTTGAAAAAAGTTTTCATCTTTTTGTAGTTGCAGTTGGCCCTTGTTTGCTACTTCTGCTAGTTTGTCCCTTCTCCCTACTGAAAAAGCTGTCAGCCGAGTAAAAACCTTCATTCACTTCCTTTCCCTGTTGCAACTTTGTGCCAAAGTGCCAAAACTAACGTTAGATAAAAGGAAAACTGGAAGTGGCAAAGACACAACAATTTAGGTAAATTTGTTTACTGAAATCCTACGAGTAGATAAGAAAAATAGACGAATAACAAATCCAGCCCTCTTACAGGTTAGCGGGTTAAACATCATATTTAAGGTTTTTCACCTGTACATAACATCACATGAAGTTGAAATAAAACTGGATCTGTTCACAAAAACAATAAATAATATGTATAATGTACTTAAAAACTCACAAGAAAAGAGATGGTATAATGCAACCAGTGTGTATTTTCAGTCAATCAATTGTCCATGAATATATACAGAGTAAGCAGTGACAAGAAGGAAAAGATTAAAATTCCAATAAGAGAACGATACGAGGGTAAAAGAAGCACATCTCCTGTCAATTATTGGTCAAAATGGAAATTCTTCCTGAATGATTCAATGCAATTAACCTACGAATAAAATTAGGGATTAATTAGATCCTTCTAGTTAACTAAAATTAAGTTTCCATCTAACTTGGTTAGGAAGTTTGACTATAAAAAAAATTAGATAGAAACACGGGCTGTTTAATAGCAATTGTTTAGGGAGAGGCTGGACACTTTTTGAGCCCTGCTCTCCTAAACTATCGATCCAATTAGGAACATGGGCTGTGTAATAGCGACTCCCAAGTCCGTTGTCCAGTTCCTAGAAAATCGTTCATTTGTGATTATTGGAAGGATCCTCAGACCTCAGTAATGCAAGCAAGGTATTTCTTCAAGGAATTGCCCTTCGTTTTCACTTTCGAAGTTTCCCTTTTTTTTTTTTTTTTCATGCCTCTCATGTGCCCCGATTCCCTTTTCCCCGTAATTTGTGTGAATTATAAATTATTCTCTTTAGTTTTGAAAAACGGATTCCTTAGTTCCTCATGCTTTAAAAACTAGTTATTTTTCTTTATGCTCTTCTCTAATTTTTTTCTCTAGAAAATAGAAGAATAAAAAAATAATCTTACTAAAAAATTGATAAGAAAAGAAGATTTCTTTTAAAAAATAATATTAAATTAAATGTAGTAAATATTGATAAAAAAATAAATAGTTATTTTTTAAAAAAAATTATAAATTCGTTTTTGATTTTTTATTTTAAAAAAATCGCAAGTTTTATTTGTGTTTTTAATATATTTATTCAGAATTTATCATAATCATTTTTGTTATAGTTTTTATTTTAATATATTGACTTCAATACATTTCATACAATTTAGGCTATTTTTTTTATATTTTTCTATTTATTCTATATACTCGCATCCGTTAAGTATGTATATATATATATATATATATATAAACTATTTTGTTCAATATATAGATTTGATTTGCATTAATCATCATAAATAAACTTTTCTTGCACTATAACATAGAATTGTTAATGTTATATATGTAATGATTGTTTAACCGCAACATAACACATGTATCTAACTATTTAAAGCTAAAAAGACTGATATATATATATATATATATATTTGATTTACATTAATCATCGTAAATAAACTTTTCTTGCACTATAACATAGAATTGTTAATGCTATATATGTAAGGAATATTTAACTGCAACATAACACAGGTACTTAACTATTTAAAAATTTAAAACTAAAAAGACTGATTTATAATTTACTCCCCTTAATTGATGACTTTGATGTACAAACATACGCACTTCTGCAAAAGCCTATTAAAGTACGTCCTTTCCACCAAACATGGTGATCATTCACATTTGGCACGGCAAGTAGTGTTGTCCGCACCAAACAAATATTGTACAATTATTCCCCCTTTGGAACTCGACAGCGCTGACACTTTAGAGACCAATGATATTCCACGAGTCATGATATTATACTCTACTGGAAGGGCATTATGAAAATCTTCCAGACTAAAATACCAACTTTCCGTAGGATCCATTGGTTCCATAGGCTTCGCTACCAATGAAAAGCAGGAGCTTTGAGTCGCCTTTCATCATGGTAAGCTCTGGTAGAAAAATGGCCTGAATTCGTTCCTGTGTATATCAGTTTGTCTGCTATGTTGTCTTGAAGATAAATCTTGTCCAATTCTGCTTGAACCACCTGTGGAAGAGATAGAAAATAGGAGACTGTTTTGCTTGGCTTGAGCAACTGTGGTGTCCAAGTCACTAATTGGCAAGGGAAAATTCATGGGTTCTATTAGTGATCATCTATCTTTCCATAAACTAACATTGCCAGCCCTCACCATCCATATAGCGTGGTTCATCAGATAACAAATATGAGGATGAATGGATTTCCAAATCACTGACCCTTTCTGCAACCTCATTTGGCTAATTTGTGAAGGATTACCATATTTCATTCTCATAAAATGACTCCACAAAGACGAGTTTGTTATAAAGGACCACGCCAACTTCCCTTTTATTGAATTCATGACCTCCTGAATGTTTCTAATACCCAGGCCACCTTCTTGAAAAGGGTAGAAAATTGTTCTCCAATTGATCTAATGGTGTCTATGTTCTTTCCCACTGCTCCAAATGTTTCAACACTGTTCACTCTTTTTTTTTTTTAAAAAAAAATAAATGCGTTTTCTCTTTTTTCCTCCTTTGTTTTTTCATTTGTTAATTTTCATATAAGTTTTTTACATTAATTTTTATTTTATTTCTTCAATACACTCCTTTTTTCTTGTTCCAAGTTGTTGTGAATACATTTTTTTTTTGTCTTTGTTTTTTCATTTGTTAATTTTCATGCAAGTTTTTATATCAATTGTTATTTTATTTCTTTGATACATTATTTTTTTTCTAAGTTGTTGTAAATACATGCCTTTTTTTTGTCCCTTTGTTTTTTTCATATAAGCTTTTATATTAATTGTTGTTTCATTTCTACAAGCTTTTATATTAATTGTTGTTGCATTTACGCGATGCAATATTATGAAAAAAAATATTAAGACGTTTTTTTAAAATTTATATTAAAATTTATTTATTATGGGTTTTTATTTAAGAATAAATGCATTAGAAAGAACAAATCATATATATATATATTTTTACTTCAAAATTTATTCAAAACATAATACACACACACACACACATAAAATTTTGATTAAAAATTATAAAGCTGAGATAAGATTTTATCTTTTATATTTAATTTAATATATTTTAATTAACAAACAATATAATATATGTTATGAAACTGAAATAAATATGTTTAGTTCGATCCGCAACGTGACTTGGGAATTCGAACTGTTCATATGCATAAAATTACCATTTACTTGATGGCAATTTAAGTAAATTTTTTGCTTTTTTTTTTTTTTTTGTGTGCTTTTGGGCATTAATATACAAGTTTAACACTTTTTCCTATTTTCGACCCTCATGTGGTAACATTTTTTTCAATCCTTACCTTTCATTTTTCTTTCATTTCCATGTAGTGTGTGTGTGTGTGTATGAACATATACTTCAGCTTATATTACTTTTATTATTTAAATTTTATTCTTTGAATTTATCTTTTTTATGAAAATTCTCATCCAATTAATATTTTTTATATAAAATTCTATTTACTAATAAATATAATTTATTTTTCTCTATGGATGAACTTTAGAATGAAATTTTAAAACATGATTGTTTTTTCTTTTTCAAAAAATAAATTGGTATAATATATATCATGAATTATTAAAAATTTTAAATGATAGTTGCATATATATAAATATATGATTATTTTATTCTAAGAGGTTAAAAGTTTATTTTAAATAATTTATTTCAATTCACTAAATATGGTCAAGACGTATAAAAAAACTATTGAATTATTTTTTTTATGAAAAATTAACTATAAATCTTCCAACATAATGTAAATTATTTGCTATAAATATTTTTTAACATTATAGAATCAATTTATTTGAAATTAAATAATTAAATTATTTTTTTTAAATTAACCAATTATTCAAATACAATTTTTTATGCTAATTTTATTGATTATTTTGTAAATAAATATATAAAGATCAAATGCATATACTTTAAAAAATTAATCTTCTCACCAACATTAAATAAGAATAAAATTCTATTTTTTCATTAATTTTTATGCAAGTTTATACATTAATTGTAACTTTATTTTTTGGATACATTATCATAACAAAATATATTTTTAAAGTATTTATTTTTGAATTCTTAATTAATATTTCAGGTTTAAATTATTACAAGTTTTTGTTTAAAAATCCTTGAATAAAGAAGAATAAATCATATTTTTTTAAGTAGAAATTTTATGAAAAACACAAAAAAATTAAATAAAAAATTATAAAATTTTGAAATGATTTTGTTCCATCCGCAGATGACATTTTTGAATAATTTCAAAAATTAATCTTCTCATCGAGTATTAAATAAGAATTTTTTTTTCATTTGTTAATTTTTATAAAAGTATGACGATTAATTATAACTTTATTTTTTGAAATATAATGTTATGAAAAATATGTTTTTAATTTTTTTTTTAATTCTTGATTAATATTTTACTTAAAATTATCACAATTTTTTATTTTAAAATCAATTCATAAAGAATAATAATTTATATATTTTTTAAGCAGAAAATTTATGAAAAAAATAAAAAAATTAATTAAATAAAAAATTATAATTATAAATTTATAAAATGATTTTATTTCATGGGATCCACAGCGTAATAGAGGCAATCAACTAATATCTACTTAATAATAATATCTTAATTGAAGTGGTATGGAGAAAATGTATCCATCAATAGAGTATCAGTGTCCATCAACTAAAGGACCCCTCTTATGTCTCAATGAGTACAACATTCAATTACAATGCAGGTGAACTTTCCTATCAATACTTCGTTGGAGTCAAATCCATAAAAATAAATAGATTACGTTGGAATCAAGACAGCACAGTCCGTCCTTGCACAATCTGACTTCAATTTACAGTGTCATTAAAGCTTTTGTCCAGGCCACGACAAACTCTCGCTCCCCGACATCAATTGCAACTCGTGTAAATTCTGCATAATTGAGTAAACTCTCTCTCTCCCTCGTTCAATCCAGCTCCTATAGCATCCATTATATAGAGAATATGCTTGGCAATTCAAATTCCAAAGTTCCAGCCTTGAATTTGCTGTCATGGGTTGATTTCAAAGCAACCTAATTTCTCCAGCTACCACCATTCAATCCACCAAGGGAAGAATACCTAGATCCACCATCACCATACCACGGTCACGTCCACTGCCATAGCCTCCACCAACATATCGGCCGCCGCCCCCTCCACCGTAACCACCTCCACCACGGCTGTATCCATCACCTCCTTTAGAGCGTGCACCTCCTCGATAACCAACACTGCCACAATCGCGGCTGAAACCACCACCCTTAATCATGAACCTTAACCCAGTCTCTCGCTCTCTATCAGGTTTCGATTTTGTTGGGATAAAACGATTGAATTGAGAAATCAATCTAACTCTCTCGCTTTCTCTCCCTCTCTCCCTGATTTTCATTCTAATTGCAAGGGGTAAGACAACAACTATCTAAATATTAATTTAATTTTTAAAATGCTTTTTTTATTTAATAGTAAAACGACGTCTTTTCACGTTATAAATAATGATGATTGTATAGTTTAAATCATATTTATCTAAAAAACAATATTTTAAAATTAAAATTTCATAATTTAGTATTAAAAATCCAAAATTGATAAATTACAATACAAGGGGCCCAAAAATACCTTTGAACCAAATAAAAATGAATTAAAACTTAACGATCAAAGTTCTAAACATCTAGCTACCCATTAAATTGCATCGATGAGATCATCATCATTGAAATTCAAACTAATCCAACGAAAACCATAGGTAATTACGAGCCAAGCCCAAATGAGGTTTTAGGCTCCCATCCGTAACGTATGCTGGGCTGTTCATTTAGAAGCTCAAACCCTCCTTTACTCTTCCTAATCCAACTACGGCCCATGGCAACCTCGTTTAGCAGCGCAACAAAGACGTCCTCGGACCTCAGTGCTCTCTCTCCACTGATCGGCACGAGAATGGCGTCCAAATTCTCTCAATTTCTGCGTTCTTACGGTAAGCGAGAAAAAAGTACGCAGAGACACTTCGTTTTTGATTTCGTTGATCGATATTAAAATGATCATTGCTGCTGTTGTTGCAGGCTACGATTTGCTGTTAGGATCAATAGCTGCATTTTACGTCTTCGCTATGCCCTACACTAAAGTAGAAGAAAGCTTTAATATTCAGGTTCTCCGATTAATCCGTAAAATTTCATATATATATATATATTTCTATTTCTATTTTTTTAAAAAAGCTTGTTTTTCTTGATTTTTTTATTTGAATTTTTTTTTTAATTTTTTGATTGGTCAAGGCAATGCACGATATTCTTTACCACCGGCATCGATTAGAAAATGTAAGTTTATCTATCATAATCGCGTATTTTTTAGTTTGTTTTTTTAATTATAATTGATTTGGTTTGCGGAGGTGATTTATTTATCAATACTTTGTTTGTTTTTGTTATTATTAGTATGATCATTTGGAGTTCCCTGGAGTCGTGCCTCGCACTTTCATTGGTAAACTAATCCTCCATGCTGCATAGATTACTTTGGTTTTATCTGCTATTTTAGATATTTAGTTACTCTTTAGCTTTTCATGAAAACTGAAAATGAGGATTGTTAGGGTGTGACTTGTGAGAGGAATGATGAATTGTTCATGTCGTTGTGAGAAGGTGAATTTCTCATTATTGTTTTCTTGTAGGGGCGTTGCTTGTCTCAGTTTTGGCGTCTCCAATTGTGATTATAATGAACTTGTTGGAGTTGCCGAAGATGTATGCACTCATTGCTGGTAGGATATTTAGATGGATTGTGGTGCTCTGTTTTATTTTAACAGTAGTTGTATCTAGGTTTTTGACAATGGCTTACTTAATTTAGTTGTTTTTGGTTAGTTCGATTGGCGTTGGGTTGTGTGGTATTATCTACACTGAGGTTTTTCCGCATTCAGGTATGTACTTGAATTTTTTTTTTCAATCAAGATTAATTAAGGTTATAAGTCTAAGGGAGTGATGAATTGAGGCAGCAAGTTGAATATGCATCGTTCCTTTTGAGCAGGTTAGACATAAGTTTGGTCATCAAGTAGAAGCTTTCTTTGTAATATTAACAGCAGTTCAATTTCACTTGCTGTTCTATTGCACACGTGCTCTTCCCAACATACTAGCTTTGGCTGTAGGTGATTGATTCTTGCAGTTCTACTTTGTCTGCTCCTTTTGTATTTTTCCTCAGGGAATATATGAAGTTCTTCTTTCCGTTTTTGGTTTCTGTTGGTGGACTGCTTTTCGCTGATCTATTGGTCAATTTTGGTCTGGTAATATAAATCAGTGTCATCTAGGAAGAGCCTCATTGAATTGTTTTCGGTTTTCCCATTATATCTGTTAGTTTGTATATTTTAAATGAACATGTGCATTTGGCAGATGTAGCTGAGTGAAAAACCTGATTCTGGTGAAGATGTGACAAAATTTGAATAAGCATCCAATTAGTTTAAAATATAGTTCATGAATTCTGATGTTGCAAGTGTTAAGCAGCTCAATCAACTAGGTGAGAATTTGAGGGGATCCTCAACCATGTTATGCAAAACAACTAGCCAATCTTCAACTAAAGGGTCCGTGTGCAGATAGATTAATACATGCACACCTCGCTGAACAGGAAGTTTGTGGATACCAGACATTACATAGAGATGTTTACTTACGTACCTTTTCAAATGCTATAATCTTCTTGGTCTGGTTGTGGGATCGGGCATCATCATCCCCATCTACTCCACCACAACCACCACCAGCCCATCTTATCACTGTGATTCTTAACTTCTCTCTACTTCCTCTGAAACTTGGATTATTTCCTGTATCTGCCTTAGACAACTTTCCTCAGATGTTAGTATACCCTCTCAGTTTACTTGTTTTATCAGCATTTTCTGCATTCCTTTCTTCTTATTCTATAGATGGATGATTCATTGGTGATTTAGTATAGTGTATTTTTCAAGAGGTTAACTAGCATATATGTCAATCTCTGGAAGTAATGTATCTTTTCAACTGTGTGCAGTTAACTTGGCTTATGCATATTGGATCAGGGGAAGCTTCTATGCAGCGTTAAACTGTCTGGTATGTGTGCTCTTATTTCCAAAATTACACTATGCATTATGAATTATACTCAATGTCCCAAGCTTGTACTGCTGATCTTATTCATACTTTGAAAACTAGTGTCATCTGAGTCTGTTTCCAGTTCATTGTAGATGAATGCAACTCAATCTTCTTAACTTTTTTCCTGTGAAAAGTATTCATTTTGAGACTTGTTTAAGGCGATATATTTTCTCCCCTACACATTAAAAAAGGACCTCTGATCTATTATGGATACACTTATTCCTTGTAAGTGGAATCCTTTTCCTTGTATAGGCATCAACAAAGTCTCCTCACAGCTGTTCTGTTTTATAATGGCAGATTTTTGCTACAATTGTATTTAGATGCGATATGCTGTTACTTCTTTGCCCTCTTGGCCTGGAACTTTTGTTGGTAGGTTCTCCTTTGATCTTGGTCCTTATTCATTAATAACATTTGAGCTTGTTCTCTCCCCAAGCACCCAATATTATCACTGATATTCTGTTGGAATTGTATCTTGGCAATTGTATTGTTAATCACCATGATGATACGTATGCCCATTATAAGAACTTGAGTTTATTGATACAGACCAAATCTATTTCATTGTGGCAAGTTATTAAAAACTGCATTGGACCTGCACTGTTCTCCATAGGTTGGTTAATTCTTTATTTACATTTATGTTAACTACCTGTATATATTCATCTTGAATTGTTTATGTTGACTGAATTTAATATATCTTCTAATGAAATCCTCTTCAGCGCAGGTCTTACCATAATAGTTGATTCGATAATGTGGAAGAAGTTGTTGTGGCCTGAATTTGAAGTTTTTTGGTTCAACTCTGTTCTGAATCGTAGTTCTGAGTGGGGCGTATCCTCTTCTAGAATTTTTTTGCATCCTTTCATGTGTTTTGAAATTTGAAAAATCTCTTATACACAACGTATTCTTAAGCAAGGTATCTACCGGGCAATTTTTTCTTCATGTGGTTATAAAGGTGCAATTAGGCCTAGCTATAATTATGCATGGCCGCATGCTTGCAGATTTATCTAGCGTGTTAAGCCAGCTTGTTTTACTAACATCATGGCTTTGTTTAGTAGGTAATAAGGGTTGCAAGAACTCAAAATATAGTTGTTTGGAGGTGGGGTCATCTTGGGAAGATTAATTTCTTCTGATGATTCTATGACCTGCCCAGATTACTTAGCACATCATCAATAATATTTACTATAACTGACATGCAGGCAAGATTATTGTGTGATGGCAGGTAACGAGTGGACTTTAATACAGTTCTATCATAATCATTGGATAAAATAGTATGAATCTATTCCATTATTTACCGATAAATTTCTAGTATTTCTAAACTCATTGAGTTCTCCAATGCTTCTATACCTTTTGGTTGTGCTTTGATGTGTTATTTTTTGCACTGTACATATTTTCAAGTCCCTGATCTCTGATTAATTATCTTCACTCCATCTGGGTAGTCATGTGAAATAATACATCTGTGTTCCTTAACATTCCTTTTTCCTCTCTAGACACATTCCTTTCATTGGTATTTCACTTCAGCTCTCCCCCGGTCATTGCTTGCTGCATATCCTCTTTTTCTGGTGAGTATTGGAGAGGTGGCAATATGACAATATTTTTTTTTGCGAATCAAGCCTTAATTCTCTGTATCTTTTGATTAATGGGTGTTTAACCCAAAGGTGAACTCTCAAAGGAGAGGTAATGAGGTCTTGGGTACTCTTGTTCTCAAGGGAATAAAAAATAGGTCTAGCTTTTCTCTGTGTTCTATTTTTGCTGCTCAGTGTATTGCTACTCAATGGAAATAGTCAATTTATATTGAAGATTAGAACTAGCTGGTTCTCATGCTTGATTTAGGTATTGCGGAACTTTTGGAAAAAAAAAGGCTGGGATCATAATATAAGCAAATGCGGGGTTATAATCCAAACTCCCTAAAGAATTCCGTAGCATTAAAGGTCTTGATTTTCGTGTAGTTGTTATTGCCCAATTGCGATTCTTAACTTGGTGTTTTCCCTTCTTGCAGCTTGGGGTTTTTCTTGACAGGAGGCTTCCCGTCTTTGTGCTTCCAGTTTGCTCCTTCGTTTTGCTTTACTCTAAGCTTCCACATAAGGTTTGTCATGTCAAATGTGAAGTTCAGCATCTTAGTTTGTTTAAACATTTCTAAATCATACTTTTGGATGGAGCAGGAACTACGGTTTATCATCAGTTCGGTTCCAATGCTCAACTTATCTGCAGCAGTTGCAGCCAACAGAATGTATGTTGCTTCTTTTTTCCTTCCTTTTGGCATCAATATGTTGGTTAAATTTGGAAAATCACCGTGAGCTTGAGTTATGAATAGCTAGCTACAACT